CTACTACTACTACTACTACTACTACTACTACTACTACTACTACTACTACTACTACTACTACTACTACTACTACTACTACTTCCAGGAAACTCAGATAAGTTATATGAAAGTTATTAAGACACATGGCTGCTGAACAAAATCTCCAAGACCAACAAACCTCCCATAATTAAGGACTGAGTCTCTAAGTCCCCATCTGCATCTAGTATTAAGAAAATAAGTTTCAACTAAATTCGGTTGCTTGTTCAAAATACTGTAATTTGTATAAACATCAAGATTTACCTCAGCTTTTCATCCCCTGCCTATTCCTAACCCAACTGTACCTGTTCAATAAAATCAACATTCTTGTTTGAACTTTACTTCATGTCAAGTGCCATTTCCAAAGGGATTTATCAGAGATCTCCTGCCAGGGGCGGATTAACCATTAAGCAGACTAAGCACGTGCTTAGGGCACCAGGGCCAAAGGGGGCACCACAAAGTCGGGGAAAGGGTGAAAAGCTTAGTTTGTACAGTCTATTGTGTTAGCATATGAATAAATGTTTGTATTGCTGCAACCTGCATTGTATATCTGTCCAGACAGGTTAACAACTAAAATGGACTGGGTCAGTGTGGAAAGGAGGGGGGCACCAAGATTGCTCAGTGCTTAGGGCACCAGTGAGCCTTAATCCACCCCTGGCTCCTGCTTAACTACAATAAATCTCTGGCCTGGCCAAAGCCAAATAACTTCTCAATCACAGGGTGGAACACATACGGTGCGTTCAGACGGGGCATTTACAATGGTATAGGTGCCGGTTGGAATCGGTGTACTTACCGGCGTTCACACATAGAACATCTGCTTTCCATCCCTAATGGTTGCAAAGAGCTTTAAACTGGTGTATTCTGCCACGAGGTCCCCAAGTGGTGGTATCCTGAGTGCACTAGTTGTAACCGCTTTACCCCCTGTCTGATCGCTCTCCACCGTTGTAGAGCCACTTCCGTTCGGAAGCCCGAAGCTTCCGCTTTTCACCCACCATTTTTTTTGTTAGGTCGTGGTATGCACTTGGGCGAAGCTTCGCCCCAGCGTTTGTTTTTTTAAAAATAAAAAGGTCCTTAGTTTAACGTTTTAGAGGAGTCCGGCACCTCAGGGAGGCCAGTTTGGTCTTTAAACTTTAAAGGTAAGTCCTCTCTTCAGGGCATGCTTTTCAGGACGGGGTGTTTTCCGCATGCACATGCGCGAAGTTCGCCATTATATGGATGGCTGCCTATGCGCATGCGCAAACTGAGTTTTTAAAAAACCCGCCAACGCCCTCTGTGTGTGAACGGGCATACAGCGATGGGCTCCGTAGACAGGAGGTAAGTGTGATCGCGTTTCAGCCGGCATAAACTGCACCGGATGGAACCGGTGCAATTTATGCTGGCTGAAATGCCCCGTCTGAACACACCCATAGAAAGTTATAATTCTATCATTAAAATATGCTACTAAGAGGCTGCTCAGTCAGAGTGGGGAATAGCATTTTAGTGGGAAAATCTGCCTCACAATAAAGAAGAAGCAGGGGTCCATCATACACGGCACCAGCCAGCACTTTTTCTGGTGCCCACCAAGTGTTTGGGGCCAGGGCCAGGTGGGGCTTTTGCCCAGGAAGGTTTTTCATCAGCCATTGAAGATTTGATTGGTGGTGCAGATTTTTTAACATGCTGTTTTGGCAGCAGCTGCCACCATAGCACAAGGATCTTCACTTGGTGACTGAAGGTCAGCGGCAGCAGCCATTTTGTGGCTGGCTCCACCTCCGGCAGCAGCCATTTTGTGGCTGGCTCCCCCTCCTGCAGTAGCCATTTTGTGGCTGAGGCCACTGCACTGTGTCAGACTTCCAAAGGGGACTGCAGGCTCAGAAAGTTTGGGGACCCCTGAAATAAATGATAGACCCTCTATGGCTATGACCACGTTCCCCTCCACCTACTTCTCACCCCCACATTCTTGTCCTGGATTGCTTGTCGGCCTCTTAAAAGGGAGTTGAGCTTACCAGCAGTACAATACGATCCATTAGACGGTTGAGCTTCGTCTTTTTCAGTTTGATCTTGCCACAGTTCTTCATTATTTTGGAATCGGAGCCTGCATCAGAGAGATTCAGGAAAGAAAGACATTTTAAAAAAAACCAAATAAATCCACTACCACCACCCTTCTCCAGGTAAGCACTTGCTCGAGAATTACGGATCTGGGGTACCCCACAGCCATGCCCAGGTTCAGCCGCACGGCCCTGGCTCACCTGCGTAGATGACAAGGCCATAGCAGATCTCCGTATTCCGGATCCTACAGCCGCGCAGCAAGATCTGCTCAGTGTCCAGTGGATATGTCTCACCCCGCCATTCCAGGGTGCCAATGAAATGATGCAGTCGACTGTTTGGCTCTTCACAGGTCACTTTCCCTGAGCCACCAAAACACAAGATGCCGTCTGCCAACTTCTCTCTGTACGTGGTCTCTCTCTCTCTCTCTCTCTCTCCTCACACACACACACACACGCACACACACAGATCCATTGGGTTACCAACTCTAGGTTGTGAAATGTCAGGAGATGTGTGTGGGTGGAACATAGGAATAGCAGGGGAGGGACCTCAGCAGGGTATAATGCCATAAAGCCCACCCTCCAAAACAGCCTTTTTTTCTCTAGGGGAACTCATCTTGATGATCTATAGATGTTGTCATTCTGGGAGATCTCCAGGCCTCACCTGTACATTGGAATTCCAAAAGCAACATCCGTGACAAAAAAACAAAGAGTCAATAAAGATAAGTGGCAAAAATGTTTACTGTAGTAATTTCTGTAGAACATTTTCTTCTATAATCGCTCACACGCTAACGAATACTGCGCAATGAAAACAATTCGTTTCACAATATTTGCTTTATCTGAGCATGTAGCAATCCCAGTTCTTATCAATTACTACTTATCAACAACGTTTCCAAGCGAAGGCTGGACGACCATCTTTTGGGTATGTTGTAGGGCTGTCTTTCGGCTATGCTCCTGCAGAGTGCAGGGGGTTGGACTAGATGACCTGCAAGGTCCCTTCCAACTCTAACATTCTATGATTCTATGTGAAGACCTTGGGTTCTGTTATTAGAGAGTCAACATGGAATGTTTCCTTCAAGAGTTGATAAGTAGTAATTGATAAGAATTGGGATTGCTACACACTCAGATAAAGCAGATATTGTGAAACGGATTGTTTTCATTGCGCAGTATTCATTACCGTGTGAGCGATTATAGAAGAAAATTTTCTACAGAATCACTACAGTAAACGTTTTTGCCACTGATGGAATTCCACTTCCTCCTGTGATCTCTCATTTTTGACTTCTCACCTGGAGATTGGCAGCCCTATGTCATACCACACAGGCCTTCAGGTCCTACATTCCAGATGGGTGTAATGGTTGGACTGTTGGCTTCAAATCATTGCCTCTGTCATGAAACTTACTGTGTGAGTCTGGTCAGCCTCTCTCTCTCTCTGTCTCCCAACCTAACCTACCTCACAGGCTTGTTGTGAGGACAAAACAATAATGGGGGGGGAATCAAAGCACTGTGAGACCCATTTTGCACAAAAAAGAACTGAAATGTTGTATTCCAGGCAGGGTTGCCAACTCCAGTTTGGAAAATTCCTGGAAATTTTGGGGTAGAGCCTGGGGGTGGCAGGGTTTAGGGAGGGACCTCAGCGGGGTGCAATGCCATAGAGTCCACCCTCCAAAGTAGACATTTTCTCCAGGGGAACTGATCTCAGTTGTCTGGAGATCAGCTGTACTTTGGGGGGATCTCCAGGCCCCACCTGGAAATTGGCAACCTTAGTGCCTGGATGAGCACCCACTCCCATCATGTATGCTTCCTTGAGTTTTATGATGGAGGAAAGGTGGAATAAAAATTGAATAAGCAATCATTAGTTCTGTACACTGCTGTTTTAAGGATGCCTGAAATCTGGCCTCAGAATCTACCTCGCTCTGCTTAAGAACATAAGAACATCAAAGAAGCCAATGTTGGGTCAGGCCAATGACCCATCTAGTCCAACACTCTGTCACACAGTGGCCAAAAATACCAGGTGCCATCAGTGGGGCCTGTTTCATGGCAGGTCTCAGGCCTACCCATAAGGAAATAAATACAAGCAATGGCGACTGTCACTGACCGTTGAAGGACACCATGTTCTCCACACTGGTGAGCTCTTGGTGGGTTACCAGGAGGGCTTGCCTGTACTTCAGATTCGTCTCTCTGAAAACGGAAGAGTTAGTTTAGGGGTATGGCTGCCAAGCCCCCGCTCCCTGCCCCCCCCCCCACTGCTGCAGCCAGCCAGAAAAACAATCTAAAAAATATAAAAATAATCTAAACGAGCGATGTCACTTCCTGGAAGCAACGTCTGTCCTCTCTAGGAATCGTGAGAAACTCTATGGTTTACAGTAGTTACACTAGCTTCCACCTTCCTGGAGTCTTTTCTTACGCACAGTGTGAGGGGGTACATTCCACAAAGTGTGATTTGTTTCCTAAGTCTCTCTTGGTCAGGTTGGAGATAGGGCATTACGCCCTCCCTCCGCTGATCGAGGCTAGCCAGCTGCAGCTAGAAACTTCCCAGGAGGAACTGGGGACCAGGATACGCCTGCATGGAGCCAAAACTCACATCACCGCATCGCCCCAACATAAGGATGTCACTTTCACTGTTAAATAGTGGGTTCCGTGGATGAACAGACTCCCAGTCTAGTGAGCAGCTCTACTTTATTCAGTGATTTCAGCAAGAACAAGGCCGTAGACCAGAGCCTCAGCTCGGTTATATTGCCTGCAGTGGCCACACCCCAGCACAACCCACTCACAACGACAGGCTATTTACAAAACTTTACACCTTGATTGGTTACTGCCAGAATCCTGTTGGTCTATTGTTATTTGGCTTCAAGCTCACCCTGTCTCTGGCCTGGGCCGGCTCCAGCTTATTTTGTACCCTAGGCGAGGATCCTTTCCTTATGCCCCCCCCCCCGTGCGCCCCCCAATTTTCAAAAATAAATGCATTTTAGGAAGAATGAAAAACACAAATAATCAAGAAACTCCCAGAGTACGGGCCGGGTGCAGTTTGGTGCCCCGAAGGGCCGTCCCGCTCTAGGCGATTGCCTAGTTCGCCTAGTGAGTGAGCCGGCCCTGTCTCTGGCAGCCCTGTCCTGCAATGTTTCAGTCCCAATACATAACATGCCAGAAGGGACATCATGCACTAGTGAGACACCCATCCCCCCCCCATTTTCCCCTGCTGGCCTCGAAAATACCAATTGGGAATGGCGTAGGGGAATGGAGCCTGAAGAGAGAAGTGGTTAGGGAGGGGAGAGACCACAGCGGGATAGAATGCCATAGAGTCTACCATCCACAGCAGACATTTTCTCCAGGGGAACTGATCTCTGTAGTTTGGAGATCAGCGGGAGATCCCCAGGCCCAACCTGGAGGTTGTAGCAACCCGAGCTGCAGTGTTAGGAGAGTCAAGTAACGAATAAATACACACTGCAAGAAACTCAAGTCGTCCTGGAGCTGCTTGGGGAGTGTGCGTGCCAGGACGTCACCGGAAGTGACGTCACACGCTGGGCAGGGCCACACAGTTTGAGGGGAAAACAAAGAGTTTTCCCCTCAAATGGCGTGGCTCCGCCCCCAGCGTGCGACGTCACTTCCGGGTGACGCGCACGCGGGGGTGGGGTTTTTCCCGGGCCCCGATTCCGGCGCGCCGGGAATCGGGGCTCCGAAACGGGGGATTCCCCGCCCCCCGGCTGCATTTGGCAGCCCTACCTCTACCCCCTACCTGGAG